AGCCAGATTCGGGAGCAAGCTGCTGAGTTGGCGGTGAGCTGAAATGCTAAAGTCTACAGACACAGCAAGAATAAAGTGGATTATAGGCCATGGGCATTCAACAGAGAAAATGTAGGAACATCATGGTGATAATTTTGTCCCGGAGTCAGTCTAGAAGTGACTTGAATTCAAGAGTCAGTTCATAGAAGTTGAGAGTCTTTGGCTTGCACTGATTTGTTTCTGATGCCAGACTATTCTGGCCGTCACCTGGGCCCTCCATTCAGTATTGTGCTTGCCCTATCTTGTTTCTCCTCTCCTCCATACCTTATATACAAATAAAAGTCAAAAGCTATTGCTCTGTCATCTGCTAGTTGTTCTCATGCTTTACACAAATCCTTGAAACAAAGACACTCAAAACTTGAGTTTGTACAATATATGTTTATGGTGCTGTGTTATCATCTTATTTTAGTTTGCCATAACTAGGATTTTTATGGAAAAATCAAAATGATATTAAGTAGCAAGGCATGATTTTCATTTTTGAAGTGCTTTTACCCAATATCAGCATTATGATCCACTGTTCTTGTTACATTCTTCCGTCAAAGGAAACCATCACTTTTACGTTATGCAATGTGATTTATATAAATATATTTAATTAAGGTTGAGTTTTATTTAATATAGTAATATATTAATACATTCCCCTGAAGTTATTTCTGGTTTTCCTGATTTTCTGTGACATATCCCTTCAAGGGTTAATCAAATCAGGCTTGATCACTCTTGGTGCTAATGGCATAAGATGGTATGTACTCTAGTCCTTGTTCAGTAAATAAACTTTTTTGTAGTAAACTACTCTGGTGGGATGTGTCATCTGTGTCAGGCCTGGGGGTAGGTTTAAAGGTGTGATGTAACTTTGGAAGTTGTTTCAGCCCTTGGACTGCAGTAGCTGCTGAGACTAGCTGGCCATGTGTCTGGGGTGCAGCATGCCTATAGGGTACAGTACAGGTGCCCTGCTACTTTCTGGCCCTGCTTTCCTTCTGCAGCGGCCTCAAAGAGTAGCTCTGCAGCATCCGGGGAGCAGGGACTGCAGGGTTTTTTTTCCTGGCACTGAAAGAGCCTCTGAATTTATTTCTCCTAGAATGTATTTGGTCTGTTTGGCTGTGACTTTGAGTTCATAACTTTCTAAAGATCCACCGAGAGGTTTTATATAAGTTACTCAATTCACATACTTACCATATTTGTAATCTTCATGGTCTAATCATTCCATTCTGTTTTACTGCTAGATTAAGACTTTGTACATGTGGTGATATAGTACCATATTGTCTCTTCTCCATACTGTAGAAGGGAAGGCGTATTTTAAAATTCTGGCATAATTCTTCAGAGGGACAAAGTAGATTGATTTAATTTGTTCTAACTGATACTATGTAAGCATGTCAAAATGAGGCAGGGTACTGTTAGATTGTAAGGTGTCAATGCTCATTTTTGCCTTTAGACTATTCTAGTTAAAATAACTCAAAAACATCTGTAGGAAGTTTGTGTCTCTGTAGCCAATGTGAAGAATAAACAAATATAAGTTTAACTCACGCTAAATCTATTTGTACATAATACTGGTAAAACTGGTTATGTTGATTACTTGCATGTCACAGTTTATTTCATTATTGAAGCCTTTGTATCATAGAGTGAACATAACTTAAGAAACACAAGATTTTGGTCTTGCCTTTGGGTAACAGATAATCCTATCACTTATTTGGAAACAAATATTTTGTGTTTGATGTAAAAAACAGAATAGGCAGCTGATGAGATATATTATCTTCAGTAATGAGAATGGATATCTGTTGGAGCAAAAGCCTCCCCTGATCACATAGCTGTGCTTGGCTTCAGTCATCTTTGTGTCGTACTGATTACTGGTGTTAAAATTATTTCCTTGTATGCACAGTAGGAGAACAGAATATTAATAGCAAAAATCCCCCTTGAAATTCCTAAAAGAACAGTTTCACTTTTTTGAAGCAGTGTTTATTGGCAGGACTGAAGCTATGGAACCAGTGAAGATACAGCTGACTTAATTTAGTCGTACTATTAAACAAAGTTGTAATTAAATATGAAGATCAAAATATGTTCTGTGATTTTTCTGAAAATGATACAAGCTTTGTGTTTCTGTGATTTGAAAACTGAAATTATATTAGCTTTAGATGACGTGGATAGTTTTTACATGCACTTTGAATTAAAATAAAAAAAAAAAAGGAACCACCTGATTTTGAGAAAGATGGATGATGATAGCACTCATTCTGTAACTGTTCAGCTGAAAACACTTACTGTATGGAGTTTAAATTTTAGCTTTTCCAATTAATAACTGATCATTGTGTCAATGAGATGTGATAACTGAAGATCATGGAGACTAAATTAAAATTGAGTTGGTTTTGTAACTTTTCTTTTTTTGGTTTAATTTATGCATCTGTTTTGTTTCATTTTTTTTCATAATAGTTCTGTACCTTTTGGTTGAAGTGGTTTATAATACCTAGCAACAAATTTTTGGGAGGGTGATAGCATTACTGTTGTTTTGTTTATTGTACCTTAGAGTACTTTGTCCTTCTCTTTTAGCAGGATGTGAATATTTCTACTAATCATTTTTCCAGACATGCTGAAAAGTATTACACTGGTAGTTTTGAAGGGGTTTGTTAACGTTCTTTCACAAAATTGATTTTGAGATACAGAGTTAAAAAGTGACTGGTGAGAGTGCATGGAAAACTTGACCCAAGTATTTAGAAATGGTCTTTCTTGCATATCAATATGACATAATGACTGCCAGGAAAAACTAATGTATTCTGAGGTTTCCTTGATTTCAGTTTTGGCTATTCTACAAAATGAATTCACTTCAGTAAAAGTCCACTAAATATTTTACTAACAAATACTTTTAAACTTTTTCCTTAAAATTATATCAGTGAAGCCCATAATCAATAACATGACAAAATAAAGCTACCTCACTTAATGTGAAGTTTTATGGAAAATACCTATTTTTCTTATTATGCATAGATATTTTTATAGTTTTCTTGTGATAAAAAAGGCTATAGGCATAGATCTGGATTTTTTTCACTGTTGGCATATTGCCCAAAAATGTGAAGAAGTGTGCAGGATACACACTCTTCTAGTGCTGTAAGGGCAGTTTGTATAGCTATCTTTCCTCATCTAACAGAGCTTTAAGGGTCGCAATTTTTATACGTACAGTAATAGAGACTTTACTAAAAGCGGTGCATGGCAGACTCTGGCAGTCCATTTGTGATGTGGACAATCCATTTACTAGCTTGGTTTACTTCTGATTCTGCTTTCAGGCTTAAGATCAGAAACCATTTGTATCTTTAATTTACTTTAATGAATTATGGAGACAATTGCCTTAGATAATGCACTGTTTGGTAAAGCAGTAGGTGTTGGTTGGGCTCTGTCTAGTTAAAGAGAGCTGGTATGAGGCAGAGGGAGGGGTTTAGCTAGTGATGTTGCTGCACCTCAGTTGAGACACATTCCCATTGACTTAATAAGGGGAAAACAGGGTTTTTGACTTTCATGTCATCTGACCTGAAATGGTGTGTTCAAGATAAGTAGATTGAAATTTAATTGGAAAAATTACTGACCTGAGAACATTCAGCATTGAGAGCAAAAAGAGCATCCACTACTATCTGCTTTCATTGCTGCTGCTGTAGGACAAGACTTGGATGAGCACAGAACACAGTGGGAAATCTGTCCTCTCCCAGTTCCTACCTGCATGCAAACATGATGAGGAATCCCTTTTGTCCCTCAGCTGATCTTTCAGCACACTTCTGATGATTCTCCTTAGAAATATTTTTAACACTGTTTTCTGCATTTGAAGTAGACTGTAACGACAGATAATAGGAAGCACCTTGTCTTCTGTGCTTATAAAGTGTTGTGTGTCTACAGCTGTTTATGAGTAATAACCTGAACTACCTCCTGGGAAAGCAGTAACAATTGAAGTTGTTATTTAGCTATTGTTTTGTTTTGTTCTTTTTATTAGCTGCTATTTTGGTGGGTGTAGTCAGCAGGGGTTGAGAGAAAATAACAAGTCACACTCTGGTCCAAGGAGAAAATTCAGTTTGTTTGCACAAGATGCTATTGTCTCCTAAATGCGGTCAGATGAAAGGAACAGACCTCTGAGCCTGTCAACAGGTCTCTTAGACTATTGCTGATAAGAGTATGAACCTCACACAGCCAATCTCAATTTAAGCAAAGAGTTCAGAAGAATGGAAAAGGAAAACTGCGGCTTTCGCAGCTTTAGAAAAGACATTTCCACAAAATCAGAACAGGTTTAGGACAACAGCAAAGGGCTGCTATGAAAACTGGGTCATACCCAGTTTCTCTGGTCATACCTGCTTGTGCTGTGGTAGCAGGGAAAGATACAATGCAAAAGTTTGTGTTGTATGGCTCTCTGACTAGCAGAAATCCCAGAATATAAGGAAGATTGTCTTCTGTTCCATGTAGAACAGTATTAAGATGCAATGCCTCTGGTGTAACTAGCTTTATTTTAATGTTCATGAACATTTGTAAAAACCTTCCTTCCATTCCCTAGGTATAAAATGGAACTGCACTTTTTTTTACCCTGAGGAGTCTGGTATGCCAGGAATTAAGTGAACAAATAAGACCTTCAGGAAACTAGCAAATATGCAACATCTTTTTGGGTGTAGTTAAAATTGACTAGAGCAAAGGACTGTAGGGAAAGCTCCATCTTTGATTCAGTTTGCTTCGTTACATGACAATGTTTGAGTTTCCGTTCTTTTTCCAGAAAAATACAAATTCTTAATAGGCATGTTAGTATACATGTATCATTTTTATATAAACGATCCTAATTGTATGTGATGATAGCTAATCCATGGATTATAGCAGTTTGTGAATATGTATAGGTATTCCAATTGTTTCTGAACAATAAAATTAAACATGTTTTCTTCCTGTGGTATCTAGGTGGTCTTCCTCCTCTTCCTATCTCCATTAGACTAAATGTCTTTGTTTTTTATTTTTCTTCATAGATTGAAATGCTAAGGAAGAAAGTAAAAGAAAAGGAATTATTTATAATACAGCTTTTAGAAAAAATCTCTTTCTTAGAATGTGAGGTAAGGCACTATATTTTAAGTTTATGCTATTGTGATGATTTTATGAAATCAAAGAAAATTTGAATTGATGTCACCTGATGTTATCTGGATGCATATTTACTGTATGTATTCGCTGTTCTTCAGTATAGAAATCAAACTTATTACACCAGTCACCTGAGGAATGTATGCAATACAAAGTCTCAATATTCATGCCAGGTTTCTTAACATACAATTTTATAACAGTTATTATAATTACTTAAAACAGAAGCTTCTGAATAAAACTGTTGGTTTAACTTATATTTTTTTCCCAGAAGTAAGGATTCCTTTATTTCCTCAATAAATACTTTTACATTATTTCTTGTGGGCATAAGCTAATGTGCGATTTTATTTCCTTTTTTAATTAACATTATTTAAATAATATAAACGTGGGATGAAAATTACTGGTTTTCAGAATAAAGAATTACAAGATAAATTGGACTACTTAATGGAAAACCAACCAAAGACCAATACAGAAACCAGAGATACTGGGGTAGGATGCGATCTTCCATACAGGTATTTACTTCTTATGCTTGTTCATAGCATTCATTACTTGTTTGTAATATCCCTTATTGGTGCTGTATTAGTAAACCATTGTGCTAATAAACTGTTAGAGTGGACTGTGGAGTTTTGCAAAATTTCCCTAAGTTTAAAAGAGCACATCTACTAGGTGTAGTGTACTTCAGTGACTTATGGACTAGGACTTTTTTTTTTTTTTTTGCAAAGATGCAAACATGTTGCCAGACCTTGGGGAGTACTTTTTTAAAGTAATGTGATTTAAGCAGGGAGTAAAGCTAGAGACCTGACTTTGTGAAATACAGGAAGTATTGATTAAATATGTCTGCTAGCAGTGCAGCAGAAGACAATGGACAGCTTTACCCTGAGGCTGGTTAATGCTGGCTTCATGCATGCTTTATTCTTTGTGTTCTGGGAGATGCGTCCAGGACCAGTTTAAAGGGCAGATAACACCAACAGTAACAGTTTAGGGCTGCAGCAATTTGTGAAGATATCCTAGCCCTAGGTGGAAGACTACCAAGTAAACAGCATGGTAACATTAACACTTGTGCACTGGAATGATTGTCTCTGATCTGTGGTGGCCAGTAGCTCTGTAGGCTGGCTTTGTAAAGATCCAGGTATCGCACATCCTCCTCTCCTCCTCCCCTTTCTCTGCCCTGAGCACTGCACCCGGGTTGCACTGAGCCCTGGGAGCAAGGCTATGGACCGGTGCTTGAATCTTCCCCCCTACAAGTCACACAGGGAAGGGCAGAACAGAAACTAAAATAGTAAGGTAAGGAGAACCCTTGCATAATTACTACCAATGAGTAAACTTGTTCATCTTAACTGCTGTGAAAACTGAGTAATTTAGTTTGAGGAATGTAAATTAGCATATGAAATCAGCAAGCTTCAATACAAACTAAAATTTTCTTCCCAATTTAGAAACGTGTTCATTTCAGTGTTCAGCCTAGAGCATATTTTAATGGCATGATTTCTGAAACCTAAAAACCAGTGTTTTTTCACTCAGGGTGCCAACAGAAAGCCATCTTTGTTGTCCTCTCTGGGCTCCCTCTGTATGTTACTGCAGCCCCTGCTTACCTGATATTTTTCATTTTTTTTTAGATTTATGTTCATGCAGAAGCATACCTCTATGCAGTTTAGATTTTATGGAATTACTCTTCACAATTATTTGTGTTCTTAAATGTAATATTGCTGTCCGTACTCTTGCAGGATCCTCAGTCCTAGCAGCTATTGCTGGACACTCCACTATGAGCTCCAGCAGATGCCTGCATGTAAACTCATCAGTGTCTGCCATGATTTTTATCAAATATTCTTTGTGGCATTATAGAAAAGAAATATGGAACATATCAAATACACTGAATAGTTTAATTTTAGCCTGTCAATATCAGTAACAAGGCACAAGCTCATTGCCGTGGCATTTAGAGCCCAGCTGTCTGACTCTCTAAGCTCTTTCTTGTCTCCTTAACAGTACAAGTACTGAGAACAGAAGATCTCCTGAAAGTGCAAGGCCAGTGAGGACATACACCCCATTCAAGAGAGTGTTGGAATTTAGCACAAAGAACAGTACATCTTGAGCATTCAAGTCAACATGCTTTCTAAATACGAGCAAATAGCTTGCGCCTTTGCAGCTTGATTAGATACATTTTTATCAAGTGATAGAGAACAGCAGCAGCATGGAGTCTTGCTAAATTTGTCCTGAAAGCAGCTTTTTAGTAACTTGGTATCTGAAGTTACTACTGACATTAACTGTAAGGGGGATATGGAAGAAACGGGATGAGTGAAACAGCAGGTCCATATTGCTTCTTTAGAAGCTGTCTAGTGCAATGTGTCATTTCAAGGGCATGTAAGGAAGGAATTATAGAGCTGTACAGGTTTTTTTCTTGATTGTGTTGTTATTCTGACTGTGTAATAAAGCTCTAATGTATTTTATTTTCAATACTACTAGAAGCAGTATCTGAACCTATACTGGCAGAGGGCATTCATCTGAAAGCACCCCCTTTCTCTGTGTACAATGTGTGAGGGCTGTTCATGCCTGTCATAGAGACCTGGTACAGTTGAGGGCTCTGTTCACCTGGAAGAAGGTCACTTCCGAACAGCCCTCTTTTGCTGGGAGGGAGAGATGCAACAGGGCTGTTCCAATTAATTCCTTCAACACATGCAGATGAATGTCGTGTTTGTTGCTCAAAACAGTAAGTGATAGAACTGATTATAATGGATTTTGCTTTGTTGGACTGAGGCACTGGTTTGCACTTCCTCAGTCATCGGATAGAGTGATTACTGGTGACACATTCAATACTAATTGTGTAGGAAAATCCCTGTCACTATTTACTTTTCCATTAGAGGAAGGTATTTTCATTAAACAGAATTTTGCCTACAGCAACCTGCAGCAGTCCCTGCAGTTCCTATAGCAATAGCATTCCTGATTTAGGATTTTGATTTTAGAGTACTTTTTTTTTTTTTTCCCAAAGCACTTAAAATCTTATCCTTGACTTCAAAGTACCAGCAGGAATGACATCATTTAGTACTGAACTTATTTAAATATATATATGGTATTTTTTTACATCTTGTTTTGATCTCCCAGTCTTAGTGAACTAAAATTAATTATGAATATTTTCTCATAGTTCTATTAACATGAATGAAGGGCATTTTTTTTTTAATTACAGTAACTGCTATAGAAAACAAACAACTTGCATTTTGTATGATTAATACTGTTCTTGCATTGAATGTCAATCCCAGGAGGTACTCACTTTGCCACAGGGCTTCACAAAGTGATTGCTTTTATCTCCGGTCTAATGCAAGTTCTTAAATTCAGTACTGTCTGTTCAAATTAAGTATACTCATTAGAGTTGTATTTAAAATAATAATATTGACCTCATAATCCAAATCTTATTCCTGCATTATTTCATGGGTTTCTGAATTTGTTATTTTGTTTATTGTATAGCTATGCTATTTTACTACTAAATAAAGAAACCTGTATTGGAGGATGGATTGAAGGATGTTTCGATGTGGTACAAGTATCTTGCAGGAACATGAATTGCTTGATATAATTGAAGCATATACAAAATAAAATGAGAAGTTCAAACTTGTCCAGCTTTTGTGCTCAGATCATCCTCTGTTTGCACATAAGCTATTTTTTTGGCTCATGACCTGTTCAACTCCTGAGAACTTAAAATGGTCATTCTTTTAGAAAAGTCAAACATAATATTATGGATTGTATTATGCACAAAATTCAAGAAATAATTGCAATCAAAGCCATTAACAAAGAGGTAAATTATCTACTGTGTGAAGGAAGCCTGTAATCTTCACAGTCATAAACATTAAAAGCTGCTCAATGTTTCTTTTAAAAAGAATAATTAAAAAACATTGTTGGTTTTAATAGCTCTGAAAGGCAACTGTTTACTTTCCATGTGATGAGGCAGTGCAAAAGATCTCATAGATATCAAAAGGGCAAAGAAAACTGTCCAGCTGTCACATTACTAAACAGGCATAATACCACACATTTGCTTAAATAGCTTCTCCCAGAGAAGGGGTGCAAAGCCTCTAGGGTGGGAAAGGGCTTGAAGAAAAGGCCCCTGAGAGTAAAGTCTGCTCCATATAAAAACTGTCCTCAGACAAAGCACCCTGTCATTATGCAAAGCAGAGAAATTGTCTTGTACCGAATACCAAAGACATGGAAATAGTTGACACATGGAGAAGCTGTAGTCTTAACAATGCATAGGCTGTTGTTGACTGAGGTTTTGATGCTTGAGTGAACGTGGGAGACTGAGTTTGCTTAACAGTTCCCAGATAACAGTTAATTTGGTCAACAGCTATGAACAAGTAAGATCACTAAGTGAAACTTGAAAAGAGAACACATTGAAATTTGAAGTGTATGTTGATCTACCCAAAAGATGATGGTTAATGACCCAGCTCAAATTTCAGGGATAAGCTGTGTACTTGTGTTATATCTCCCTCTAGTGGCTCATAACAGCAAATATTTGCACAGTATCTGGTTTTGAAGACGCTAAAAACTGCTCCCAACTGGCCATATTAATGTCCATTAGGGATGCAGCTTCAGTTCATTAAATAATGCCTTTCAGCGTTTTTGGGTTGTTTTTTTTTTTTTTGTGCCCAAATAGTCCCTCTATATTTCATGAATTTAATTCTGAATCATGGTTTGTGAAAGTTACTTTCAAATTTAAGATGAATGGACAAAGGTGGTATTTATAGATAAAAGGAAATGCATGTTGCTGTAAAATACATTAACTGACAAGTTAAAATGAGTAAAAATACTTGATCCCTCTGTTTTTGTCCAGAATTCAGAAAACAGAACTTGGTAACTGTGAGGTGCTTAGTGAATGGTAGGAGAGGCCAGGATGAAGTATCAAAATGCTGTTTTGACACAGGCTTTAAAAGGAAGTTCATTCTACTTTTTATATACTCCTGAGGATCTCCCCTTAAAATATTGCAAGCTGTTTTAACTCTGAGATGTGCAAAGTTATGGTCATCTGCTCAGTGCTTTACCAAGACACTAGAAAGGCATTTAAGTTTTCCTGTAAAAGTTTTCTGTTAATTCTGTCTTGACTATTTGATAAAATATAATTTTTATTTTTCCCAGACCAAATAAGGATTGAAGTCTATGCTATATTTTAAGAGCAGCTCACTGCATGTCCATCATTTGATCAGACTAGTGGTCTAAATTTGGTAACTGTGAAGAACAGGAAAGGAACAGTATTTAATTGTGTTACATGAAAACATAGAGCTTTCCAGTCAAATCAGCAGCAATGTAAATTAGCATAAATAATAACAAATCTGACTGAAAAGACTAACACTTCAGTACTTTTGTCAATTTGAGACTGGGTTAATTAGTACCATACCATTAGAAACCAGTAAAATTTCTGTAAACATGACTAAAAGCCATATAGCCAGGTCCCAGAAAGTGCATTAAATATAAGTCAATTATATGACTACATTTGTACCATGATAAGTATTCTTTTGTGATTTATTCCAGATACTCTGGA